GCTGGCTGGGGAATTCTGGGAGTTGAAGTCCACCCATCTTCAAGTTGCCACAGTTGAGAAACACTGGTTGTTGGAGTCTGTGTGATACTGCTGTGGTTCATTAGACCACAGAGCCTGGTATGTCAACACTATATGCCATCATGAGAGACCAGAAAAGGGAAATACTATGTTTTTTCTAGTTTAAAAACTATTCTATTACAGCTGAAAAGCCAGGTTTATGCTGGCAAAGAGCTCTATCCCAATTTGAAGCAGGCCTGAAGGGTTAAGTTCTGCGGGGGTGAACCCAGGAGCCTGAGTAAGGCTGCAATCTAATTAAAGAAATATTACTTGTGATAGCGGAGAATATGATTTGACCTGTAATGCTGGCTTTAGCCAATATCTTAAATTTTGCAAGAGAAGCATACTTTTTTAAAGAACAAATCCTGATCTACATTGAATTGTTTAGGCATCTTGGTGTAATGCATTACCTTCCTGGTTTCCCCCCCCCCCCATTGGAATATTTTTATTTGGCCTTGTAATATGAATTAACAGAAGGAATGATCTCTTATTCTTGGATATTGTTAGCTGATCAAACAGCTGGGTTCATACATTGTGCTAAACTCTAAAATGGCTTGTTTGGCTAGGCTGGGGCGGGCACCCACTGATTTTTCTTAACATGGCATTCAATGCTGTACGCATCAGGCATTTTTAGTTACTTTAATATTCCATCCATTTCCTTCCCCCAAATATGAACATGTACTGGGCTAAAGCAGACGTCCCCAACCCCCAGCGTTGGACTACAAATCCCATCGCTCAGCCGAAGCAGCTGAGCGAAGGGCTCTCCTTAAGAGAAGGAGGCATATGGTCAACCATCCGAGGGTCGGAACTTTAAGAAGCCTGGCCGATATTTCCGGGGGGAAGAAGTAGGAGGACACCTACGACAAAAGCTACCTTGGGAGCACGGAAGTGGAGCGGAAGGAAGAAGAAAAGTCCCAAACGATCTCTGGAGAAAACCGGAGAAAGGGGCCAAGAGAGGTTCTGAAATCCGTGGGACTGCTCGTCCTTAAAAAAAAGAAACCGCAGCCGCTCCCAACTGCCGGAGCAAAAGTGGGAAGGTGACTGCGGGGAAAGAAAGGAGGAAGGGGCAATGACGGGGACACGGCGGTTACCATAGAAACTCACCAACTGGTGCGTCGACTGCGGCCGCCATTTTGATCTCACTGTCGCGAGCCTCCCGCGGTCCCGAAGAGGAGGGAGGAGGGAAAGGAGCGACATCCGGGTACTCTCTTAGATTGACGTCACTTTTAAGCCTTAATCTTGCTCTTGCCTCCAAAGGGGCTGGTCCTACAAGTCCCAGAATTCTTTGCCCGGGATTCTGAGGGGGCATTTTGGGAAGTGTAGTAGTCCGTTCGGATGGACGACCTGTTACTGTACTCTTTTTTCTTAAGTGCTAATTAGGATGTAGATGCGAAACAGGTAGTATACATTTCCCTCATGATTTGGTGAAAAGTTAATGTTATGCATACAAAAGCTAGACCAGTGTTTCTCAAGCTTGGCTACTTTAAGAGGAGTGGACTTCAACTCCCAGAATTCCCTGGCCAGGGAATTCT